AAAAAAAAAAAAAAAAATAGTCCACACATTTTTTCACAAAGAAGAAATGGAATACTTGTCGTATAATGGCGTTCTGGTACCGATTGGTACTGGTAGGGACTGGTAGGTATGTTAGGTATCGTAGGTATCGTTCGGTACTGGTAGGTACGATAGGTACTGATAGGTACCGGCTGGTACTGGTGGGTACACTTCTATTTTAAAACAATTCCGACTTTTATTTTGCAGGTCAAATACATATTTATACTGCAGGAAACTCAGATTTTAGAAGTCAGATCGATGACTATTAAACAGACCAATATCTGGATGACAACCACATCGAGCCCTTCGTCATGTTTGCTGTGTGAGAAAAAATAAACTTCGTCCTGGCCTTTATCAACCATTATTTATGTTTCGAGTCTGTATTGGGTAATGGTGTTATTTTTCTTGCTATAACTGAATATGTTTAAAGTTATCCTAACCCGAATACACATACAGGCATCCAGAAATATGATGATGGATAGTAAGCAAGTATGTGTCGCACATTTAACAAAGATGTCGTTAAGCTCTTTTCTGTGTGATTAATAACATTTTCTGGCGCACTACGAGGTTCAATGATAAAGTGGTAAGCGTGTGGGCAACACGCCTCTCGCATGTGCGCTATGCCTTATGGGGTTCTAGGGAAGTAAGGCAACAGTTAGGTATTCGCCAAATATTTCCACTAAATGATCACATACTTCTCTGAAGGTTGAGGTTCTGCAACAGAAACTAATCTTCGGCACATATCCCTGCGTTATTGATTAGGATAAATTTAATTCCAGTTTGGTACATCTACGAACCGGTCAGGAACCGATGGGTACCAATTGGTATCTAGAGGTACCGAGTGGTACCGAGCGAAACCAGGAAAAAAATTACAATACAACTCGCTACCGACGAGAGTCCATGGAATGCGGTAAAATAAAGAATAAACTCTAACAACAAACCCTAGATCTACAATGACTTGTACAACTTAGAATGCTTACAGAAATATCCCAGCTTAATCTGGTAGGTACCACTGAGTACACATTCGGATAACGCAGCGGTACGCCCCGGTACCCAACGGTACCGAGCGGTACATTTTGTCACACAACTTAACGGGCAAATGACATTCACAACATCATTCAAACCAAACCCTAAAAGCTCAAAATTAACGAAAAATACATAAAAACTCAAGAGAAAACAAACCTTTCTCATTGCCACGATGAAGCTCAGCAGGCTTAGCGTAGAAGATGAAGTTGCTTCGTTCGAAAAATACAACCTGCAACTTCTCCTTGTGGAAGATGGACTGTAGTCTAGCAAATCGCCCGAAAAAGAAAGAAGGAAGCGACGTTTCAGATGTTCTCGAAGATATGGGTACCGCGCATTTTTTGAAGTAGTTCGGATGGTTCGTGTTATCGGGTTATTGGGTTAACAGAGCACACGATCTCCTCATTACGATGGGATCAAGATGAGCTCCACGTGGTGCAAAACTACTTATTTGCATACACAGAGCTACGTCCGCACTCGGCACCCAATAAAAGTTCGCCCTTCACAGCTGTGAAAGGTAACTTTATTCCTGCGCGCTTCTTCGGCCAAATCCCGTAAATCCGCCGAACCAAAGGATTTCGTTAATGCGGGATTTACCACGAAAAGAGGGAATTTTCCGTCAACCGCGGCTTTGATTTACCATGAGATTTGGTTTTGCATTTTGGTCGTTCGGCTGGATTTAGCTCAAATCCGCTTCAAATCCAGTCTAAATCCTGCATCCAAACAGGCCCTTTATCTTTCGCTCTCTTTTATCGGCGAAATTATAAATCCAACAATTTGTGATTTGCATTGTTTTCACGTCCTCCTAGAGCAGAAAACTGTGGATTGCACAATCAGCCTAGAGTCCAGAGATACCTATAACCTACAAGAGCTAGCTGTACTACGGTTTCTTGTGCGCAGCAGGAAGAGACATACGATAAGAAATCCGGTAATGCACGCTTCCGTTGACCACCGCTACCTCCGCCAAACCGCCGGCAAGTTTTGGTCTTTATTTTTCCTATTAGGTTTTACGTTGGTTATTTTGGTTCCTGCATCCTACTTTTTCCTTCCTTTCGTTGATCCCTCTTTATTTTATTTTAGTTCAGTCACTTGCCTCTTGAGAAACGATGATGCTGGTTTCGGCTGGATTTGTCTTTCCAGTTTCAAATAGCAAGCTTGCTGCTAAAAGCTGGAACCATAAACTATATGTTAAAGGATCTCTGAAGCTAGATCAAACATATTTTAATGATGCTGGAGAGGCTAAAACTGTGATACATCGAGATGCAAGGAGGTCGGCCAAATATATCTCACTATGTGGCTATTTTCTCCTTTTATTTTAATTTCTTGCCCGGACTGAAATTTTAAAACTTAGAAATGTTGGTTACATGAACCCTTACTTTTTGTTAATTTAGGGCTTTGTTAAATGTTTTGTTCCGTGATGTTCGTTACACCTGTTAATTCGTTATCTGAGGTACCGGCTGCTAATTGCTGAAATACAAACCTTAAGTCATTGTGTTCATTGGATGTTCTCATTTATTGGAGTTCTCTGCAACTGATAAATGAATGTGCAATTAGTTCTTCATTACGTTGATTCTCCTAATACTAAGATTTTTGTAATTTTCCTTAATTCTTTTTGTTTATATATTCTTTTCTTCTGTTTGAGACAAACCTTTTTTTTTAAACAGTGAAATGAGTTGACTTCTCAATGGTCATGTTTGTTTTAAATAAATTCGAGGAAGAGTAATGTGATACATCTTGGAGAAGATCACTGCTCCAAATAATTCATCAAATAGTTCATCAATCATTGAAATGAGAAACTTATTTGGCACCGTTTCCTTGTTCAACGCCTTGTAATCCACTAAAAACCTCTAGCTACCGTTCTTCTTCTTTACCAGCAGAACTGGACTAGAGAAAGAGCTCACACTAGGGCAATGATCCCTGCTTCCATCATCTCCTTGATTAGTCTCTCTATCTCATATTTTTGAATCTCGTGGTAACAATATGATCTGACACTTATAGGAGAGATCCCCACTTTTAGGTTGATGGCATGCTCATGCTCTTGTGGTGGTGGTAACCCGATAGGTGGCTGAAATACGTCCTGATACTATTGCAGAATCTGCTGGACCCCCATTGGAATTTCCGTTGCCTCCAATTCTATGCTATGTAACTCCACCAAGTACCCCGGGCCCGCACCCTGGATCGTCCTGAGCATGGTTTTCAGCAACATCATAATTTTGCATAAACTAGCATCCCCTCAAAGTATTACCTTTCTCTCTTCTACATGAATCTCCATGGTCAAAGCCTTTCAATTCACCTTCAAGTCTCCTAGGTTCTGTAGCCACTTCATCCCCATATAGTCTTCCACTACTTGAATATCCTGCTAGGTTATCACCGCCACTTTGTTTATCCTCTGACTCCTCTCTATCTTACCCAACCACATCATCACCCCACATTCTTCAGTCCTCATCATCTTCAACCACAATCAGTACACAACCCGATTCGAGATGAAGTTATGTGTAGCCCCACTATCCGCCAAAATCACCACTGGTTGCTCCTCGATTTGTCTCTTCACTTTCATGGTGTGTCAATCCCACCACAAAGTTCAGGGACACCTCTGCCATATTTAGATGTAACTGCTCTATTTCCTCCACAACATCCTCCAGCTCGTCTCCACTCTCCTTTTCCCCCTGACAGACCATTAAGACTTGAAGGCTCAATTCTTGCACCTATGTCCCAGTATGAATCTCTCATCACACCTGAAGCATAACCCTTTTTCCCTCCTGTCTTGCACCTCCGCTTTTGTAAGGCGCTTGAAATTGCCTCTAGGATGAACTACAGTGCTCTTCTCTTCTGCGCTTCACTCTGAAACGACATTGTATGGGTTCTCGGTGCCAGGGTCATGGGGGTGTTCCTGTAAGCCCCTCCCATGGTGTAGCTCCGACTGGCCTTCTCCCTTTGATGTTTCTCTTCCACTCTCCACGCTAGCTCTATCATCTCCCTCTGCCCCCTAGGTCTCAACACCCTGAGCTCTGCTCGTACGTCTTCCTTAAGGGCCTTCATGAAATTCCCTTCTAATCCATGCTCATAAATTCTTCTCAGCCTATTTGACAACAATTCAAATTTCTCCCGATACTCCATTACTATTCCCCCCTGAGTTTAGTCATAGATCTGCTCCTGGATATCTCCTTCTCGAATAATTCTGAAAAGTTCCAACAAGCAATTCTTAAATTCTCCTTATGAATTAATCATATACCTTATCTCCCTCCACTTAAACCAAGTTAGGGTTTTTCCATCCAAACATAGCTATGTTGCCATGAGCTTTTTTTCTTCTGTTAGCCCCTTGAATAGCAAAGTAACGCTCCACCGAATACACCCAACCCTAAGCATCTTCTCCTTCAAAAACCGGTTTCTCCCTCTATTAGTTCCCCCCATGTAGTGATGTAGTGTTTCTCTCCCTTCCTCCCTTGGTTGGTTTGGATACCATGGCTCGGCCCAACCGTTTCCTCCTCCGATCCACCTTCCACCATGTATGGATGGTCTTTCCAAGGGTTTGGTGTTTCCCCTTCTTGCTACCCTTTCTTAGTAATACCCTAATCCATCTCCCATCGGAGCCCCTCATGTGGTTCAAGAGGGAAAACACTCTCCACTTCATCACCATCCTCTTGAATTTCCTTCCCCTTTGGTTCAAACCTAGGAATCGCCAATGAGGCTTTCAACTACATCTCGATCAACTTCTTCATCATGTCTTCAAAGTTTCTAAAGTGGTTCTCTATGGATGATAGTCTTCCTTCCACATCGGAATATTTTTCCTCCATTCCAGCCCTGAGTTGTTTCATCTCGCCTTCCAATGCATCCATCTTCTTTTTTGTCATTTATCTCGCTCTGATTCCAATTTGATACATCTTGGAAGTGAAAACAACGAAAGAAAGAAAAGAAAATTGCAGAAATACTCCAAACAATGGCTAATGATTATAACTTCAATACAAAAATAAAATACAAGTGATCTACAATTAGAGAGATAGATCGATTCTCCCAAACAACCTAGACATTACTAGGAAGCCTTCACAGAAAAGAACTACAACAAACTCTTATCCAAATATCACCCTAATATAAAATAACTAGGCCTAAATAAGCTCTTTCTATTTCCCATCAAAACAACCTTCTTGCTTTAATTAATTCTCCCATTTATTTTGAATTCAAATTGGAATTAAACAACGATTAATTCCTTCATTATTCCTTCTCTGTACATATGAAATCATAGTTTTGTTGGGCCTACAAGAGGGGCCGAACCCTCCGTGGTACTTCCTGGTCCTGCCTGGTCTGCCCCCTTGTGCTGGACCGGCCCTGCTGCCGTATCATAATGATTCACTCCTTTAACATATTCACACACAATTAGCATGCATATGTATCAATTGAGAAACATTTCTGCAATGCGTGGATGAATGTGATGCAAGTCTCAGTTCCATTTGTTTATTTATTTGAACCTGTATCATTAAGCTAAACCTTTGAATTATTGAATCCGCTAAGCAGGTGACACACTTGAGACATGTATGGGACATAATTTCTGGGATTATGCTTCACTCAGTTTTTTTTCCTTTTGGTATGCTACAACAACAACATCAAACTTTTATCCCACTACGTGGGATCGGCTATATGAATCCTTCGGCTACATGAATTATTTTGGTATATTATGGTTAATATTATGATTACTTTAAAGGCTCACTAGTCCATACCGAACAACATTCAGTAGAGATTTCTAGTTTTTTGTACATTTCTTATATTCATCTAACATTTTCCTCAGCAATCCTTGAAATAATAATTTGGAATTATTTTTAGCATTTAATGCATGAATGTTATGCTTATGGAATTTGGGTGACTGTTGTGGAGGTAGTTAATGCACATAATGCAGGCTTTTTGATAGTCATATGCATTTAACTTGTGCTATTTTTAAGGGATATATGTTATTTAGTTTGGGCCTGATTTAACCACTGCAAGACTTATCGTTATCTGCTTATTTAGACCACCTAATAACATTCAAAGTAATCAAGGTTTAGATTCTTATCATCCTTGAGTTTCTTTAAACAAAAGGCATATTCATATTTCTAATTGGAGTGATTAGTTTAACTTTTCACAAATTGCTTCATTCTTTGCTTCTTCAACTACCTTTTCTAAGGTACGCTAAAAGAGTGAAGGACTCAGTGTCATGCTTTATATTGTATAGAATCAAGCATAGGTTTGCCTTGCATTGAACTTTAGTTGCTCGATTGTTTTTTTTTTTTCCTACATTTAAGCCAATTAGGGTAAATTCACACACACGTGATATACACAATCTTCGAATGCAAGAACTCTTGGTTGATAATAAAATATCTCAACCAACAGGTCAAGATGAGCTACGTAGTTGCTCGATTGTTAAGGCAGCTTCTAGTACTTGAGGGGCAGCATTTGTTTTTTTGCAGTTGGTTAGGATGACCATTGTTACTGTTGAAATCCAGCCGTTACCTAGTACAAAGGATCCGACGGACACAAAGATCAATCCGTGGGATACTCTCATGGATTACGCCATAATGAGGGAACGAATTTAGGAAAGATTTTATTTTCTTATTTGTGTATTAAATCTGCAATTTATTATTTCCGCATTATGATATCTTGTATAGATCTATAAATAGGGAAGATTGTAATGAATAAGAACAAGCTTTTCCCTCTCAAATCTCGGTTTATAACATGGTATCAGAACCCGGGGCATAAATCGCCGCTGATCCGCCGGACAAGACGAGCGACTCGATCGGAACTTCCGATTGGAAATTATGATCCGAGAGGAAAGCCGACGAAGGAGCGAAGGCAGCCGCTCGACCCGCCCCCTCTTCCGATCCAGAAACTCGATCTCACAGGCCGAAGGAGCGAAGGCAGCCTGACGAAGCTTGGCGAACTGACGGAAGCCGAAGTCGCAATCCGTGCCAGAGAGACGAGCTGAAGAGGCGACTCGTAACCCTGATCCAAGCTTCCGATCCGACGGGAGGAGAGTCGAACAGCCACGAGCGAGCCAAATAGGCGGAGCTCGTGTGCGGTTCTTTCGTCCCAGGCAAAGCGGAGCTTGTGTGCAGATCGCCGAAGGAGGAGAGTCCAACAGCCACGAGTGAGCCAAATAGGCGAACCGTGAAGAAACAAAGCCACCCAATTTTTTTTCTAGAGAAGCCGGCCCGTGCCCTATTATAATCCGAGCCTTTTTTTTTTTTAAAGGCTAAGATCCGGTTCGGTTTACTAAAACCGAGAGGAAAAAAAAAACTTTTATCGGCCTTTATTGCTGACAACAAAAACCGGCCTTCATTGCTATCTAAGATAGTCTTTATTACTATCATCATGTCAGAAATCAATTCCTCCCAAAGTATTGACCAAACGGAAGAGTCGATGGTGCACCAAGGGCGAGGTGACCTTCAAAGCATTCAACCTTCCTATCGTCTAAATGGGAAGAATTACCTGAAGTGGTCTCAATTTGTGAAGACCTACTTGAAGGGGAAAGGTAAAATACATCACCTCCTTGGAGGATGACCAAAAGAAGGAGATCCTAAATTTGGGGCATGGGATGAAGCAGACTCCATGATTATGTCATGGATGTGAATTCCATGACTCCAGAAATTAGTGACACATTTATGTTCCTTTCAACGGCAAAGGACATATGGGATGCTGCCAGACAAACCTACTCCAAAGCTCATGACGAGGCCCAAATCTTTGAAGTTAAAGTCAAAGTTGGAAGCACGAAGCAGGGGAGTAAGACTGTGACGGAATATGCCATCATTCTACAAAATCTGTAGCAAGAACTTGATCACTATAGGTGCATTGAAACCAGATGTCCGGAGGATGCTGCGATCCTAAAGAACTTTATTGAAAAAGATAGAGTTTATGATTTTCTTGCAGGACTCAATGTAGAATTTGACCAAGTTAGAGTTCAGATCCTCGACAAGGAAGAGACGCCATCACTCAACGAAACCATTTCTCTCATCCGCGCAGAAGAAAGTCGACGCAGGTAAGACTCCAATTTCTTTCAGTTTAAGTGCTTCTAGAAATCATCTAAAGGAATTATGGATAATTGATTCTGGAGCCACAGATCACATGACCCACTCATCTACCCACCTCATAAACTATACTCCTTGCCCAAACAATAAGAAAATCATCACTGCTGATGGTTCTCTTACCACGGTAGCTGGTCAAGGAGACATCATATTATCTCCCTTACTCACCCTGAAAAACGTCCTCCACGTACCACAATTATCCACAAATCTAATATCAATACAAAAACTTACCAATGACCATAATTGTCAAGCCTTATTTAACCCTACTTATTGCTTATTTCTGGACCAGAGATCGGGGAAGAAGATTGGACTTGCTAAGGAGAAAGCAGGATTGTACTACCTGGAAGAACCAAACCAATTTAATAATAATTGCTCTATGTTATCCCTAGTAGATAGGAATTCCACTATTTGGCTTCATCATTATAGATTAGGACATCCGTCTTTTGATATCCTAAGACATATGTATCCACAACTGTTTCAGAAAATAGAAAATAAAAATTTTCATTGTGAAACCTGTTAGTTGGCTAAACATAAAAGAACCTCATTCCCAAACAAAAGTGAGAGATGTGACACTCCTTTCTACCTTATTCATAGTGATATATGGGGACACTAAAAAATCTCCAATATCTCTGGGGCACGCTGGTTTGTGTCTTTCATTGATGATTGCACTAGAGTCTCTTGGATCTATCTCCTTAAAAATAAATCCGATGTTAGCACCATTCTTCCCATCTTTCATTCCATGATACAAAATCAATTTGGGGTAAAAATACGGAGATTCCGCTCCGATAATGCCAAAGATTATTTCAACCAAACCCTTTTCTCATACTTCCAGAATGAAGGGATCATCGATGAGTCCTCATGTGTTCACACCCCGCAACAAAATGGGGTTGCGGAGAGGAAAAATGGTCACCTTCTAGCCACCACTCGAGCCTTCCTATTTCACTACAATACACCCAAATCCTATTGGGGGGAAGCTCTTTTAACTGCAGCCTATCTCATAAACCGATTACCTTCAACAGCTTTAGGCCTCAAAACTCCAATGGAGACCTTGTCCTCTTTTTACCCAGAGTTTCGAACCCATCATAATATTGCACCCAAAATCTTTGGATGCGCTGCCTATGTTCAAATCCACAGCCATGAGCAAGAAAAATTAGATCCAAGAGCACTCAAATGCATCTTTGTTGGTTATTCAGCTACCCAAAAAGGTTATAAGTGTTATCATCCTCCCACAAGAAAAATCTTTGTTTCTATTGATGTTACCTTTGATGAGAAAAAATCCAATTTCTCAAAAACTCATCTTCAGGGGGAGACTGAACTTGAAGAAGATGAGGAAATTGAACTAGCACCTCTTGACATTCCTCCACCACCTCAAAACAATCCACCTGAAACCCAAGAAAGGGAAACAAATGACAACGTTATTAGATTTGGAAAGGTTTACTCCAGACGTACAAGCTCAAGCTGTACTCCAAAGCAGATCCAAGAATCTGAACCATCTCCTGGAAATAAGGTAAGTTCACCACCTCCCTTATACCCTATAAACAACTATATATCTTTCAACAACTTTTCATCATCACACAAAAATTTTCTGGTTTCATTAGAAGATATTAATATTCCTAAAGATGTTTCTGAGGCCTTATCTGATAAAAATTGGAAAAATGTCATGAAAGATTAAATGCAGGCCCTGGAGAAGAACGAAACATGGGAGATCATCAATCTACCAGTAGGGAAAAAATCGGTCAGCTGCAAATGGGTGTTCTCAGTAAAATACAAAGCTGATGGCACACTGGAGAGATATAAGGCAAGACTAGTGGCAAAAGGGTTTACTCAAACGTATGTGAGCTACTGTGGATCAAAATAATCCTAGAAGATCTGAAGGTTAAGTGGGATGAGCCCATGAAGATATATTGTGACAACAAATCAGCAATCAGCATAGCCCACAATCCAGTCCAGCATGACAGGACCAAGCACATAGAAGTGGACCGACATTTTATTAAAGAAAAACTAGACAGTGGTCTAGTAAGTGTTGACCATGTATCATCAAAGGATCAACTTGCAGATTTCATTACTAAAGGATTGGACAGTTCTGTCTTCCTCCGTATGATTGACAAGCTGGGAATGATGGATCCATATTTCCCAGTTTGAGGGGGAGTGTTGAAATCCAGCCGTTCCTAGTACAAAGGATCCGACGGACACAAAGATCAATCCGTGGGATACTCTCATGGATTACGCCATAATGAGGGAACGAATTTAGGAAAGATTTTATTTTCTTATTTGTGTATTAAATCTGCAATTTAGTATTTCCGCATTAGGATATCTTGTATAGATCTATAAATAGGGAAGATTGTAATGAATAAGAACAAGCTTTTCCCTCTCAAATCCCGGTTTATAACAGTTACCAACAACTGTTATTCTTAACCGAACTATAAAGAATGTAGAGATGATCTTTATTAGCTGATTAGACCGGAGTAGTGCTGGCTGAAGGAACAAGTCTAGTTCTAGTATAGTTGGGTAGTCCATCTTCTTTTATTGTTTAAACCATAATGTTAGCTTGCATAAGTTTTATCCTCCAATAGGAATACTAATTTTGACCTCATGTTTTATTTTTGTTAAAATCCCAACCATCCCTTGGTTCTTGATCCCACGGACAACATGGGGATCTGTGGGAGGCTCACCTGAATCACGCAGTTAAATCTTACCCATCCCTTGGCCCTTGATCCCACTGTCAGCATGGGGATTCGTGGGAGGCTCACCTGGATCACACCGATCTCCTTCTATATTTGGGTGGCTGATTTAGGAAGGATTGTATTAAGACAATCATGCATGATTCGTATTTATTTGTTTTTTTATTAAGACATCTTGTATAAATTTATACATAGAGATAATTTTGTATAATAAAATTAAACTTTTCCCTCCCCAATTTTCTAAATTTAACTTTTATCATTTCTATTATCTCATACTCTTATTTTCTTTCCCCGTAAAGTTCTGTATATTCTGATTGTAGAAAATGACAAACCTTTGCGTGTCAGATGACTTTCACTTGATATTTTCGTATTAGTCCTTGACAGATGTGAATGCTTTGATCTCTATAAAGACCTTATTCCCTACAAAGAAGCCTGGTCTTGGCAAAAGTCAGTAGTTAAAATGCGACAAAGTTTGGTAGAGAGAGATGAAGATCACTCCGATACTTTGATCATTCTTCAACACCAACCTGTTTATACATTAGGTACTAGGAGCTTGGAGAAATTTTTGAAGTTTGATATTAAAAATGCACCCTATGATCTTTATCGGACTGAACGTGGTGGAGAGGCTACGTATCATGGACCTGGACAGGTTTGTTTATCGATCTGCTGGTTTTTCTTTTTTAAGTTTTGTCCAATGGTGTTCTAGTTGGACTGTCTGTGAGAATGAGCAGCATTTATATTGTCAGATTTAAATACTCTTTTCTGTTAGTGAGCATTCCATTTTTTTTTACTGAGAATGTTTCCTTACTAACAACTAACTCATATTTACTAGTTTAAATTTCATTTTTTTTGTACCTGTTAATGCCTACCTCTGACATTTCTTGTTTGTGCCTTTCTTCTTTAGCTTGTTATGTATCCTATTGTTAATTTGCGTTGCCACAAAATGGATATACACTGGTACCTCAGGTCACTTGAAGAAGTTGTCATCCGTGCTCTCTTCACAACTTTTTCAGTGAAGGCTTCAAGGATTGAGGGTCTCACAGGTGTCTGGGTTGGTATGTGTGAATTCTTTCTGATTATTTTTTTCAATCATTGTATTTTGCTCTACTCTTTTTATGCAATATGTCATGTTGGGAAAATTATTAGGTGCGGAGACCGGACATAGAGATACGTCCGGACATACACTTAAAATTTGACACGTGGAGTGCACTTTGGTTGTGCTTTTTGTGCGCTTTACCTTCACTTTAGTTGCGCTTTGGCTGCTCTTTTGTTGCGCTTTTTTATTGCGCTTTAGTTACGCTTTGACTGCTCTTTTGTTGCATTTTTTTACTGCACTCTTTTTTTTTTTGCTTTAGTCGGTATGTTTGATTGTGTTTTACCTGCACTTTACCTACCCTTTACCTGCGCTTTTGATGCGCTTGGCTTAAAGTTTCGCTGACGCATTAAATATATAAAGTGAAAAATAAATCCAACGTGTTGACAACACGTGTCAATATTTTATTGGAGTCTGGACGTACCTCTACGTCCGGTCTCTGTGCCTAATAATTTTCCATTATGCTGGTAAGCTTGTTCAGTTCAAAATGTGGTTTACATATAAAAACAAGATTAAACCCTGAAATTATGCACAATGATATGATCTACAACTAACTGCAGCTTGTTCTAACCTTGACAGTGACTGATTTTGCCATTTTTAGAAACTCAGAAACTTTCTCTCTCCTATCTGTTTCTAGGGAATAAAAAGCTTGCTGCGGTTGGAATTCGGGTTTCTCGGTGGATAACATATCATGGGTTGGCACTTAATGTGACCACAGACCTGGCTCCCTTTCAACAAATTGTGCCATGTGGCATTCATGACCGTGAAGTTGGGACTCTTTCTGAGTTTCTGTGGGGGTCAGTGAGAAAAGGAACAGCTGAAAACAAGAGCCTTATGGATGTTATTCATGACTCCTTGCTCAGAGAGTTCTCTGAAGTTTTCCAGCTCTCTATTCAGCACAAAAAAATTGCTGATTTGGAGCTTATTGAATAAAATTATGTCAACCACCTTCCCTGGTCCAATTTAAATTCTTGGTTTGGCAAGCGAAAATTCGTTGACATTGAGAATAGCTTATACAAATAGCTTTGCAATATTTAGGAACCAAGTCTATGTATCGAAAATGCCGATCTCATATCATTAAAAACAGTTCTAATTTCATTGTTACTTAGCAGCTTTTGTTCATGATTTTCTTGCTCATAGAGTTCCCCAAAGTTTTCTAGCTCTATTTGCATCACAAAACAACTGCAGATTTGGAGCTTTCAGGATAAAATCTTTCAAAAACCTCCGCCGCTGGAATTTAAATTATGTTTTGAGATCATTCATTGTGTTTTGCATAGAAAATAGCTACATAACATGTTTCTGGAACATCCAACATGCCATCCAAAACAGTTTTCTTTTCGTTGTTATTCTGCAGCTTTAAAAGCTTTGCATGGAATCATCTGGTAAGAGAGTAAATGAGGAAACTAGGTTAATTATGATGATCTCTAGAAACACTGGAACATTATCAGAGTTCCTAATTTCCTGCTGAAGCTAGGTTTGAAATTACTAAACGATAAGAGGGGGGGTGAATTGTAAAAAGTTTTCTCTTAATAAAAAATTAACCCTAAACAAGAGTTCTAATTTTTTGTTGTTTTTTTGAAATATTAAAATAAAGATCAATGCAATTTTGCTTTATAAAAAAAAAAAAAACACGTGCAATAGATATGAAAAATTAAAGTGTTAATTTTATCATTTAAGTGATAAGGTTTTTCATCACTAGAATGCTAGATGCTTGTACTTTATTCAATCTAATCATAGGCAATGTACTGATTATACCTAATTTTCTTCTTCTCTAAGCTTGTTTGTTAAGCTTTTTTTTCTAAGTTTCTGATCAAAATAAAATCCTTTATCGAATTCCTGTTTTTTTTTTCTTACTAGTACAAATCATGAATGGTGGTTCCTGTCTGCTGAAATGAGAATCTCTTTAAATACATAACTAGAAATAAACTAAGCCATCAAAATTAATACAAGATCAATCAAACAATCTACACATGAGGATGCCAAAAGAATATATATTTGACAAATGAAAAAAATCAAGTTTCAAGTAAGGGCAATACTTGCCACATCCTTTAGATTTCTGAACTGCAAGTACCTGGCATTCATTAAATTAGGATCTGTGATCTTTTTATGCAGCAATTAAATTACTATGATGGATATTTCAGCTCAAAACTGAACAAAATTTATAGAAGACAGTAACATAATAGTTATCTCAGCCTTATGGAGTCACAATGGAGTACATTCAAAAATCAAAATCTAAGTTTTTTTAATCGTTAACTGGCTGAGGTCAGTAATTAATATTTATATTTTCTGAACAAGGATTCAGTAGCATTCAGCAGAACCTTCAAAGAGGGAGAAATTTGGCGCATGCTCACTGTATTCAACGATTGCTGATGGAGGAAGCAAGCCAATACAAATCTTATGAACGGTTGTCAGAAGTGGAAATAAGCCTTGCCATCCCCGGTGACTTAAAACGTCATATACTTCTTTTGCGGTTGAAACACCCTTCAAAATAACGTTATTGGAAGGTTAAATTTCGATGGTTGAGAATGGCATTAGAAGCTTCACTGTATGTGTAATAAATCACCTTTTAAACATAGGATGTAACCTAGTCTGCTTATCTAAAACTTGTCTGAAACTATATGCTGTTGTCATAAACTTGAAAAGCTGTTTTGAATGTTTGGAGTGCATGCAAATTCTGCAGTTTATACCTACTGGATGTTTCCTGCTGTACAACTAATTATTGAACAATAAGGTAACTTCTTGTTCTTTGAAGTTTCACATTAGGACGCATGAAAAAGTGAAAATTAACTTTTCGTGCAGTTTCTATCAGCTGTTGTTTTTTTGGGCGGGGAATTAGGTGCAGAGCCTAATTTCATTGACTATAAAGCATAATTACAGCATGGGGAATCGAAATATAAATCAAAGAGTGATGCGAGAGCAAGAATACAATGAGCTGCAGCAAAAACAAGTAATGCTCAAAAAGAGGTGCAAAGAGATAAACAAAAATCTTAAATAGAAAGATTGGACTCAGAGGGCCCAAAGGCACCAAGAAATCCCAGTTGTGAACATGCAGCAAAATGTATATTCATAGAAGTGCCATAATAAAAACCCCGCCAAAAATTTAAACAATGCCATAACATAATCCTGTAGTGAAACACTTAGAAACTAAAGAATTGACAAAGGAGAAGAACAGGGGAAGAAGAACAGCATTGCGGTTAGCATACCTGCAATTTTTGCCCTTGCAATAGTTCTTCTTCTAACTCATTAAAAGATCTGCAAGAGAGAGAGATTTAAAGTCAACGTGATGGGCTTTACAAACTTGGTAGATATTGAATAAATATATTCCTTCTTGAGATGATAGTGTTTGGTTCGATACATACTTTTTACCACCGGTCCTTGCAAATGCTTCAGCAACTCTCCTGTTCCTTCCTCCAACTGCATACACCACAAAGGTTATCTTCTATTATCAGATGGCATTTTTAATGAAAAAAAAATGAAGGCTTATAAGTATTGTAGCTTCCTTACGGCATGTTGTAATGACATCAGCTACACCACAACTCTCAAAGAAGGTGCTGTCTTTGACTGATGAGAATAATCGTTTGGATAATGCTCGCATCTCTCGCAGGCCAATCCTCATGATTGCTGCCTAATATGGCAATAAAAATGTTAATATTTCCAGTAATCTTAATTAAATACTGGTAATCGATCTCCTAGGTTAAATCCATTTCAGATCCAACCTTGGTGTTATTTCCCATGTCCAAGCCATCAACAAGACCTGTATCCATAATGCAACACTTTCTTTAGTTTGGACATTGTGTTCTAAGCAAAGTTAATTGATTAAGGTAATGCAAAATATAATTTGTCCACAAGACCTGCTGCAATGGCAACCACATTCTTTAGTGTACCACATAACTCGACTCCTTCTATGTCTTGCACCTGCACATAATTATAAGAGAATTTATAAAAAGCTGGACCATATCAAGTGTAGAATAGCTATCACAGATGTGTCATCTTTTTCATTCCAGCTATGAAAATATTTCTATTGACCTTTTGGGAATAATGATTTAAAACTTATTCCTCAAAATGTCAAACGATATGTGTTTTGTTTGGTAACTCTGTTTCAAAGCCATGCTTCACATTTTCCAATAATGACATTGGTCATCATTTGCACCAGTTTTATTTGTTTGAGTTCTGCTTGTTTTAGTTTAGCAGTAAAATAAGATTATTTCTTTGCAACCCAGTCAATATCTGCAATAATGTCTTCTGAGACACTTTACCCTATAAGTTTAAATTAAAGGTCATATTCGCTGTAGGAACAAAGAAATTTGCTGTTATGTAATTTACTTCTCTAATCACTCAGTGAAGCATATCTTTGAATGTATAAGTTTGTTAACAATACTAAGTAGAGTGAGCAATTCAAGTTGATTATAGTATAAGAAACTGGTTCAACAGTTCAATTGAACTGCAAAGTCGGAGGATTGTTTAAAATTTGTAATTATCAAGCTCGATCTTCTGCTGACTTATAAGAAGTATTTCATGAGTAACTTACTGCAGAGACTAGGAAGTATGATTGGCTGAACAACTTCGCCCATCTCTGTGCAACTTCTTTGCTGTGTTTATAGCCTATAGTTGCTTCGCTGAACTTTTCAAAAGCTATCTGTTTACAAAAATAAAGAACCGGTCAACGAGATTCAATATAATATTCATTGATTAGAAGTAAAGCTAGATGATAGGTGAGTGAACCCTTGCCTCATTAGCAATGTTAGCACCCATGAGAACGCAACAATTGATGCCAAGCATATCTGTTATGAGCTTAGAGATCATGCATGGCCCTTCTTTTTTTACTTCCATGCCTTTAATAAGAGATATCCCCTCGGCATCAGACCTTATCTTTCCCCCCAGCCTCTTGCATATTCCCTCCATGAACTGGTGTGGAGTCACAAAAACCAGCATGTTTGCCTCCCGCACTGAAATTATAAAAAATATATACAAATGGAATACATCACTTACAGTAGTTATTGTCAACATTGATGCAAATACTAACAAATTGGATGAGGCATAATGAAACAACTTTGCTGAGGAATAATTGTTGCATGTTGGAATATTTGTAGTAGTAGAGAATTGTCATTGTACACAAATTTTGCACAAGCAAAAATAAGACTATTTGAGAGCAACTCATAGGAAACATAAAATTTTTGCATGGAAATCTGAAAAGTGTCAAAATTAAGAGGTCTAACATAGTTAAAATGATTCCATTAATTTTTTCGTCATTGTACAAAAATTTTGCACACAAAAATAAGAATATTTAAGAGTAACTCATAGGAAACAATTTTCACATGGAAATCTGAAAAGTGTCAAAACTAAAAGGTTTAACCTAGTTTCAAACAAAACACTAACAGAAAAGGGCTGCCAAAAATTACAGGCGAATTACAGGCAACATAAACTATCAAAAAATATCTTATCGACGACATGCATTCGCTTGTATTACCGACAAAAAGTTTCATTGATAATTTTCGGTAATATCGGCGGAGGTTAGTTATCATTAAGCGAGTGTTTCCTTCAGAATTTGTTGTTGGTAATTTGATGGAAAAGTTTTTTGTTGGAAAATTAAATGTAGGTAGATGTTTTTTAGAGGGTTTTTAGCAAAAGTTCATTATCCATTGAAAATTCTAGTTTTTTATGGAAAGGACCTAATTAGTTATAAATTTTTAGGTGAGAAATAAATGTTTTTCTTGTAATAGTCAACCTTGGTGTCAACTATATACATCAGCTTTGTTGGTAATGACATTTGATGGTGTTTCTGTCGATCTTGTACAATGTATTTGTTGGCAATGGTGTGTGTGGCATTGGTGCCGATGGCGAGCATCTAACTTATTGGTGATATCATGCATCAATATTGGTATAAATGGTGTGCAATTGTGATGGTGTTGATTGCATGCATCAACCTTGTTGAGGATAAGCTGTGTCAATTTTGGTGTCAATGACATGTGTCATTTATAATAGTCAATTTTATTATAGTCAATGTTATGTGTCAGTCGTGTTAGCAATGATGTATGTTGGTGTTGGTGTTAACTACATGTGTTGTCCTTATTGGTAATGGTATGTATTGACAGTATTGTTGAAGGCGTGCATTAGTCTTATTGGTGATGATGGATGTCAATGTTGTTTGATAGAAGATGACTATTTTCAAGATAAGGTAGTCGGGTAACATTAGTTTAGTAATAGTGGTAAAGTGATAGTAATTAGGAAAGGGTGGTCGATATCGATGATCATAGGTGTGTTTGATCATGCAAAACTTTCCCCAACTCTAGGTCTTGCTACAGGTCTATTTCCACCTCTGTCAAATGTATGGTATTTGGTTCAATATAACCCTTTTTATCCAAAACCTAATTTAAAAAAAAAAAAACCCCTTACAAAATTATGATTTGTCTGGAATAATCAATAATGATTACGATCTTTCCTTTGTTTCTCCTTTATTTTGACCATCATTGTTTCGGTAATCTTTTTTATACCGATAATAATATCATTTCAATAGAAGACATAGCATCAAATTAAAAACTTTAATTAATAAGAAAAACAAAATACTGTATAAAAAACAATATACTAAACAACTCCAAAATGTCACGTTACCGGCATTCTCGAGGTCAGGATCAGCCACAACATTCTTCCCAAGCTTTACACCATTTAGGTACTTGACATTCTCCTAAACCCATTCAAATTGGTTTGAAAATCGCATTTAATCAGTAAATAAACTAAAATCTACAGAGGAAAACAAGCTAACGAATCGAAGCTACTCACATTAGTCCTATTAATGGCGTCGCTGAGTTTCTCGCCGCAGGGCAGCACCTCCTCGAACACCCACATCCTCACTTCATCTGAAAATGATCGTTCAGATTAATCCTTTTAAGGCGTAGTTCTTTTGTAAAAGATGGGGGGAAAGATACCGTGAAAGAATGGATGTCCGATGGTGTTCGAGGCGACGAGCTTGGCGGCGACGCTTCCCCAATTGCCGCTTCCGACCACCGACACCCGGAATTGCTCCACCGCCGCCTCATGTCCCGCCTCTCCCATTGTTGCCGGGCGGCGGTGGAATGCTGAGGAGAAGGGGGGAGAAGAGTAGAAGAATATGAAGAGAGAGAACAGAAGAAAATGGAAGGACGCTATAAATTAAGAGCGGATGCAGAAGAGACCGTGATCGTTGGCCTTCCCGGAACGAACGACTAGTACGAAGTGCATAACTGAATTTGACGCTCCTCTATAAAAATAAAAATAATTTAAAATATTCGAAAACGGTTTAATTTTAATATATATGTATAAAACTTCTCATAATTTATTTTTTTAAATAAATAGTTTTATTTTTTACAAAAATAATAAATCAAATTTTAATATGATTTTTTGAAAATTTTTGGAATTTATTATCATATCTTAATATTACTAGAATATGTTGTAAAAATTCAATTTTATTGGTAAAATAATATCCAACTTTTATGATAAGATTTTATACAGAAATTTTGTAATAAATTACAATAATAATATCAAGAATTTAAACAATCTAAGAAATATATTTAAGACGGCTTTTTTTTACTATTTTTTTAAATAATTTTTTAATAAAAAATTAAAAGCTGTTTTAAGAAGAACTAAAAAAGTCGTTCCAAATGAAACCTAAATATCTTTATCTAAGACTTCATTTGAGATAGTTTTTTTACTGTTTTCTAAAGTAAATTTTTAGTACAAAAAATATTTTAAAAGTAGTATCAAAATTTGTCTCAAACGAAACTTAAAAGATATTATAAAACATTAATTTTTATAATTTATAAAAAATATTAATCATTTTCCATAAAACTCTCCATTTTAGTTGCAACGCAAAGTTGAAAAATGTACACTATTATTTTATAAGATTGCCATACTTGAAAAAAAAAAAAAGACTGAATCATTACTCCATACAATAGAAAACAAATCTTACACCTAAAAAAAATAAAATTGCCTTGATCTCTACTCTGGTTTGTCCGCTCACCCACACGCTTCTTCTTCTATCCAACGCAACAAAGAAAGAGTGTGGGAACAAATACCATCAAGAGCTGCATGCAAAGCTGGAACTTAAGTGAGTTGCAGGCAAAGTCATTCGAGTATTGAAATGCAGACTTGCCTGTTGTATTAAATAGTAAATATAATGTAAATTATTTTTAATTAAATTACCCTTAGGAACATAAGGGTAATATATGGTGACACTGCCAAGGTAGTTTGCAGATGTGCAGAAGAATTAAAACTTGGAATGAAATTTGCAGTTCTTTATTAATTAAGACTTCTTTTGGGATGGTTTTCTTATTGTTTTGTTAAAACAGTTTTTTAGTACAAAGATTAAAATTTTTGTATTAAAAAACTGCTTTAAGAAGCAGTAAGTCATCTCAAACAAAGCCTAAGACATATAATATGATTTTAAATGAGTTTGTATGGCTAATTTGAGGATAATTGTTAAGCGACTGTGATTGATTTGTCACAAGAATGTTCCTAAATAGACCTGTATTGGACCCGACCTGAAACCCGACCCGAACCCGACCCAGAATTTTTGGGTTTGGGTTGACCCGAACCCGAAGCGGGTCGGGTTCGGGTTCGGAAAACCGACCCGTTTGCAAAAACGTGTCGGATTCGGGTTGACCCGACGGGTTGCCGGGTCGCCGGCCTATTTATATGGTGTTGGGAAGATAATCTGGCTATATTACTTCTAACAACTACTTAACAATAGCAGGGTTGCGACGACGAGAAGATCATATCAAGTTTTGAGGAGAAGATCATATCAACTTTTTGCAGCACCTCTACGACAGCGGGAAAATTTTGGATGCCAAAGACGTCTCAATTTTTTTGTTTAAAAATATCTCTAATTGTAATTAAATTTTTATTTATAAAATGAAATCTCTTTGCATAATTTTTTTATAATTCATTTGATTTTTAGGAAAAGTTTTGGATGTCGAAGATATCTCCGATTATTTTCGTCGAAAAATCACCGTAATTGCAATTATATTCAACTTCATATAAGAAATGAAATCTCTTTATTTAGTTATTTTTCTTTATTTGATTTATTGTGTTTGATTATATTTAATTATATTTTATTTTTTATTTAATTGATTGAATTCTTTATTTCAATCATATATATATATATATTTATATATATATATAAGATAACTGAGTAAGGTTACCAGCACGCCCCCTGCAGTAGTAATATGTATGTGATCTATTTGATTTAATTATATTTAATTATATTTTTGTAATCATTTGTTTGATTAATGATTTTTTTTACATATAAATTTATATCCTATTTGGTGAAATTATATATGAATTAAGTAATAGTCCATTGGTGTATTAATAATTATAATATTTTTTTATATTCAATTAGGATCATATATATTTCTATTATAATCTTTAATATATATTATACTCTGACTACTATAAACAATTTAATATATTAATGATTAATCATATGTATACTATAACGATAAATTCATTCCATTATTTTAGATTTAAAGATATTATGATGACTATCAAATCTTTACAATTAACGTGAATGACTTAATATAAAAGTTTACATTTAAATTCTATCTTTCAATACTCTTATTTAAATCAATCTTAATTAAATATTAATTCATTTGCTTATTCTGCATTATATCATTTAACTGCATAAATTTATTTTAATAAATAAATATATAATATATTATTTAAAAGTATTATATTAATTCATATGTATACATTTGCACGGTTCACTATCAAATTTATTATAAAAAGTTAACTTATCCTTCATCTTTCAAAATTTAACTTGAACAATATTACTTATTATTAAAATATTTACTATATAAAGCTGCTTGATTCCTTCTATATCAATATTTTCGCCTTTCATTTTATTTCTAATGGAATTATTTGTTCATTGTTTTGTATTATAAATAATTAATAATTTTAAATAATAATTATACTATTCATGTTCCTACAAACACCTTTTTATTAAAAAAATTAATTAAGCAATTTTAATGTTTCATAAATATGAGTTAATAAAAAAAATAAAAAAGAATTAATTAAGCAATTTAATGCCTCTTAAATACAACTCATACTAATTTTTTATTTCTAATGCATGTTAATATAGAGTTATAAAAAAATTAAAAAGAATTAATTAAGTAATTTTAATAATTATAATTAATTATAGAAATAAATATAATAATTTAATTTTTTAATTAAAATAAAATAAATTAGAATATTCATTATGTTAATTTTCATTTTAAACTTTTTATTCACTTGTATTTAATGCACGTGCAATAAAATTAACAAAATTAATTGCACTTTTTCACTAATTTTTTAATTTTTATTGATCTAGACTTTGTGGACATGCAAATAAACATTAGTGATTATAATTATTTATAATAATAAATTTAATAATTTTTTTCTTCTTAATAATTGATAGCGGAGTAGAATATACCGAGGTGGTAGAGTTTACAACTTCACGTCTGAGCGTTGCACGAATATTCACACAACAAACAGAAAAGAAAATGAAACACCAAATATTTTTACGCGACGAAAAGACTGAAAGAGGGAAAAAAACCACGGGCCACGCCCAGTTGAAAAGTTTCACTAGTTTTGTAAATTACAAAGAAGCTGATTCGGTCCACAAGTTATAACGATCAGATTACAATCCGTTTCTTCTAACTTGAAACAAATTTACAAAATTCTGCAGAATTCAGGCGGCGGAAGAGAACTTCGACGGTGGTCGAGGAGGAGATGATTCTCCCTTTCCCTTCTTCTCTTCTCTTCTTCTACTTCTTCTCACTTGAGTTCTCTTGAAAGAATGAGGGCTCTATTTATATGTGTTTTCTGGAGTGCATGAGCTTGTAAATGGTGTGAGATAAAGGCAGAATAGTAGGGAGTAGCAATGGACGGCCGATATTGAAACCTTCGTATCGTGCACCATTCGTTGGACATTTGGAGGCTTAATGATGTTGGAATTCGGCGATCTTGGGTTCATTGGATTCGTCTCGTCGAGCGCGTTCGATTCGAGTATAGCTCGTTAAAATCGGAGACCGTTGGTATACTCAAATGTGTTTTGAACCTTCCAACAGCGCTTCGGGTCCTTGATTTGAACCCATTTGGGCTCGGATTGGGTTGGATTTGGTGTCTATTGTCATATTTCGAGACGCTCAGTTGACTATAAGCTCGCTGAAATCGGATTTTTGGTCTTCCGGATTTAATTTTTGAAGTTTCAGGGTCTGATTCTTTTTCCCTCGAGATTCGTGCCCGATCAAGATTATTTCATGATGATGTATCAATAATGATAATATAATTGAAATATTATAATATTACTATTTATTTTTTTATTTTTATATAAATGGAGCATTATTAATAAATAACAGTTCTTCCTCTTCATAGCTGCAACCTGCAGAGGAATCAGTAACTCGCGTCCAACAGAAGTCCCAATTTTTATAGCTGATGGTCTTTCCTTTTTTCCTTCTACAACAACATCAAGCCTTTATCCCACTACATGGGGTCGGCTACATGAATCCTTTTTCTCCATTGTGTCCTATAAAAAGTCAAATTCTCATTTAAATCTAATAAAGAAAGGTCATTCCTAATATTTTCTAACCAAGTCTTTTTAGTCTACCCCTATCCTTGTCTTAACATTAAGTCAATCTAAAAATACAATTTCTACTCTTCCCTAACTTCCTTTCCAACGGTCATGAAGGCCGCCGTTTATGTGAACAAACCATCTAAGGCGACTCTCTCCTAATCTTATCTTCTACTGCAGTTACTACCAACTTTCTCACGTATATTGCTCATTTCGCATCCTATCTTTAAGGTTAAAGCCACTCATTCCACACGAGCATATACCATCTCTGCCGCACTTAACTTAGTATTATGCTTCTCTTTTAATGGCCAACATTCGGCTCCATAAAGCATTGCAGGCCTCACTACCATCTTATAGAATTTTCCCTTAAGTTTGAGGGGGACTTTTCTATCGCACAATAAGTCTGATGCATTCCTCCACTTCAACCATCCAACTTGAATTCTGCTGATAATATCCCCATCTATTTCACCATCACTCTGAACAATAGATTCAAGATATCTAAAACGTGTACTCTTATTAATGATTTGATCGCCCAAAGTCACAATCCCCTCACTAGGTCTATTACTACTAAAATTACACTCCATATATTCCGTTTTAGATCTACTCAAGCGAAAACCTTT